TACTGCTGACTTTATTAGAGGCTTTGATCTAGGTTGCAAGTACCTTGAAATTGTTAACCCACTTCTACCACTTCCAGCCCTGATGTGTGCCCAACAAAATTCATATAACCTGAGAGTCGACCTATATGATGGGAAGATAAAGAAAGAAAAAGCATAATATTAGTCTCAGTCCTTATTCCTCCACAAGCTTGTCCTCAAGTTCATATAAACATCCTTAACAGCTCTTGATCTTTGGAATTCTACAAATATAGAGCATATATTACCTGGTGCTGGTGGGAAAATATTTACACAACACACTGAACATTTCCTAAAGTTTTCAGCGGACTGGTAACATTCCCCTCCCCCTTAGGTCCCTCCCGACAAGGATTTGTCAGTGAAAAAATTTCACAAAGTCGATATTTCAAACAAAGAAATTAAAACTCTGGATGGCTGACTTTCTATTAATAAAGAAATCAAAAACTGTATATAATAAAGTTATAAAACTGGAATATATAACTGCTGACGAAAAGAAATGGTATCAATATTGTTTCCATTTTGAATCATCTATAACACTCTTGTAAAGCCCTTGACTAATCCAAGGATATTTTTGGCAAATTTAAAATCCCAGGATTTTTTCAGTTATTTTCCATTTCAAGCCATGTTATCCAGATTGCTTCAGGTACAAGTTATATATAGCCTAAGCAATTTTTTTTAGCCAAGAGAAAGACATGAGACATCACAAAGCCAAACACAGTATTGTCTGAACATGTGCCATTTGGGATCATTTACTTCCTACCCTTGTGAAGACAGATAAAAGTGAATTGTACAGAAGCAAAATCCAGTGAGCACTTCCTTAACTTCTTACATGAGAATTATGCAGTGTAGATGCACAATTTTCTATAAACTTTTGGCAAAATACTCTATACAAAGCATATGTGTCTGTGAGTCATTGTCCATATAAAAATCTTTCATATAAACATTACTTTTCTTAATTATGGAATGACTTAATCTTTCACCTATCTTAATTTTACTGAAGTGTGATTAAAATTAAAGAGGCCATCCTTAGTCATGATCTTTGGAATCAATGCAATTCTCAAATCAAGGCTAACAGAAACTAAAATCCTATCAGGATACTAGTTTTTAGCCTCTTCACCCTTCCTTTTGCCCCCATGGAGCAGCCAAATTTTTATGACCACACAACTATTTTTTAAATTAGTCTGATGGTACAAAGAGATGCCCCTTCTTGGCAGGTGCATCATCAAAAGTGATTAAAGATTTTCTTATTGAGTGTCTTCTGAGCTGAATTTTAAGGGTCAGTGATTTCAAAATGTAATTGATCAAATCTGGAAAAGTACCAGGCCCAATTCTGAAGGTAAACAGAATAAACAAAGAATTTGTTTATTAATTTCAGATAAACAAAGAAAGATAGTGGGAGCTTAGAATTGAAGATCTTAATAATAATAGAGTATTCCAGAGCACTCTACAGGATGATTCAGCAAGGTCCTTACTTAGGAACACATAACACAGTAAGGATAGAGATGCCTAACTTCATGACACAAGCGCGCACACACACACACACACACACACACACTTCTATCTAACCTATTATGGCCAAAAGGCATATGTATGGCATATCTAGTGAGTTGTAATCTACAGTAAGAAAATATTTTCATTAAATTGTAGTCATAGTTTGAATGCTGTGAGGGTGTATGTCTATCTTTAAGTGAAGACAAAGTGGAACAACCAAAATTTCATTTTGGTCTAATCCAGGGTGTCTCAACCCTGGTACTACTGACATCTCAGCCTGGATAATTATTTTGTTATGAGAGGCTGACTTGTGCATTGTAAGATCTTTAGCAGAATCCCTAACTTCTACTAATTACATGCTATCAGCACCCTCGAGTCATGAAAACAAAAAATGTCTCTGGTCTCCAGACATTGCCAAATGTCACCAGAGAGGGATAAGGAATCATCCCAGCTGAGAAGAACTGGTCTAATCAAACATCACCAGCACTGGCCATTTCTGTTTTGCCCTTCAGAACCCACATGAAATAGTTTCACAAGTTTGTAAACTAAAAATTTTATATAAATCTACTGCATAAATCTATCCCAGGCATCATAACAAGATGAAAAATTTTCACATAATATTTTTTCTCTTCCTTCCTTCTCCTTTTTTTTTTTTTTTTTTTTTGAGATGAGATCTTGCCCTGTCACTCAGGCTGGAGTGCAGTGGCATGATCTTGGCTCACTGCAACCTCCACTTCCCGAGTTTAAGATATTCTAGTCCAGATAATATTTTCAGTGGAACTGTGATGTATGGGCTTTATGGAGCTCATTAATTCCATTTTAACAATTAAAGTACTAATCTGAGTAACACATACTTTATTAACTTTTATATGTGTTTTTGTTAAGGCTTTTACATTTTTAATGGTATACTAGTGAAAATGTGTTCTTTTTTAGGTAACTACTAAATAATAATAGCTCAAAAGAGGAAACATATTCAAAGTTTCACTCAAAGTGAGTATTTAACACAGTTTCCTCATGGTACATTCTCACGTTTTTGTTGCTGTATAGCAAACCAGTTCTCCAATAGAATCAATACTCTCAAATTCTTAACTTTCTAAGTAACAATATAATCTGCACTATCAACAAGTCATATTTTAAATGCTAATTTTTATAATAACTTCAATATTTAATTGCATTTAGAAATGGTCTACTTCAATGACGTAGAATTTTGCCAAGGGCTTTCTTACGTTGATGTCATGTTAAATTAACCCATCAAAAAATACCAACCATTATTGTTTACATAGTAACATGGTATGCCAAGTTTTTACTGTTAAAATTAAACTAGAACTTTTTGGTACAATTTACCTGAAATTTGGTGACATTTAAAATAATAAAGAGATTGAGTTCCAGTGTCTCATTTTAGCTTAAGACATTCCAAAGTATGAAGACAACGAGAGGTTTCCTTTA